TGGCATTGCAAGTTACACTGTGATTCCCACCCCTAATAATGTCAAATAGTCATTGTATTGATACCAGTATAGGCCGACTGTAGTACTGATGAGCACTTTCTTCCTCTCTGCAGGTCCCTACACATCTGCAGAACAGTTGGGAGAGTTACTACATGGAGATCCTGATGGTGACCGGCCTGTTGGCCTACATCATGAACTACATTATTGGAAAGAACAAGAACAGTCGCCTCGCTCATGCCTGGTTCAACTCGCACAGAGAACTTCTAGAGAGCAACTTTGCACTAGTGGGTGAGTTCGGCCAGTTCAGCCAGCTGCTGGGTGTGACATATTACTAAACATTTTTGTGTGTGTGTGTGTGTGTGTGTGTGTGTGTGTGTGTGTCCCTGCTGGTTATGCCCCAAATGCATAACATAGTGACATCCACTTTGAAGCAGATCTTGGGTTCATTAAGAATAATTTGTGTTTTTAGGTGATGACGGCACCAGTAAAGAACCAGTTAGCACTGGAAAGCTGAACCAGGAAAATGAGCACATCTACAACCTGTGGTGCTCCGGACGTGTGTGCTGTGAAGGGATGTTGATCCAACTCAAGGTACGGGCAATTTGTTGTGTTTATTGGTGTGCGCTAAAGCCCCTGTTAAATATGCAGTCGTGTATGTTCTCCGTGTTTTATTACAGTTTTTGAAGAGGCAGGACCTCCTTAACGTTCTGGCAAGGATGATGAGGCCAGTCTGTGATCAAGTGGTACGTAGCTTTCAAATAAGGCCTCAGTTATGCTGGTGTGGAGGTCTGTGAAGTGGAGCATTTACAGATATACTGGCCTGTGCTACGTAAAGTAGTCTAGAAGCCGTAATCATTGTCTCACAAATGTCTTTTGGTCTGTTTGATTTTTCCTTTTTTTTTTAGCAAATCAAAGTGACTCTTAATGAAGAGGACATGGACACTTTTGTGTTTTCTGTTGGTACTAAGAAGGCCATGGCCAAGCTTCAGAAGGAGATGCAGGACTTGGTAATTATCCTCCATGTCTGTTATACAAGAATTGTATAGATATAGATAGTAGAAGCCAAACGGTTTGGTCCGTTTGTAGTCTTATAGATAGAGACCCATACACATCTGATATTGTCATTAATAATTGAAAAATGCCCTTTTTCCCCATAGAGTGAGTTCTGCGGGGACAAGCCTAAGTCTGGGGCCAAGTACGGCCTTCCAGACTCCCTGGCTATTCTTAGCGAGATGGGCGAGGTCACAGATGGGGTGATGGACAACAAGGTAAACTCACAAAGGGCACTACAGAGTCGGATCTTGCTGACAACATACTTCTCTGTTATGTAACGCATCTCTCTGACATGTCTTATATGTTTTTTTTTTATATATCTTTAGATGGTGCATTACATCACCAACCATGCTGACAAGATCGAGTCCATCCATTTCTCGGACCAATTTTCTGGTCCAAAAATTATGCAGGAGTAAGTATTTATTCAGTCTGTTTGTCGTTTTATTCCCCTACATGTAATTCACTTTTTCATTTGGGGTACTTAAAGTTCTCGTGTGCTTCCTTCAGGGAGGGTCAGCCTTTAAAGCTGCCTGAGACCAAGAAGACGCTGCTGTTTACATTTAATGGTGAGAATTCGGTCTTTCCTGTTGTAATACATCAGAGCTTTATAACAAGGTTTTCAAAATGTGTTTAATGTACACTGAATGTTTTTGTGTTTAGTGCCTGGCATGGGCAACACCTCTCCCAAAGACATGGACTCTCTGCTTCCTCTCATGAACATGGTGATCTACAGCATCGATAAGGTCAAGAAACTCCGTCTCAACAGAGAGGTGAGCAGAAGACTCTCAATCCTGCACCACTTTGAATCATCACTCACTTATTGGGGATATTTTGTGTCATTAAAAACAGAATTCATAGTGAAAGTTCTGAATCCCTTATCCCTCCGCTCCTGTTTATTCAGGGCAAAATGAAAGCGGACCGAAACCGCGCCCGCGTGGAGGAGAACTTCCTGAAGCAGACGCACGCTCAGCGCCAGGAGGCCGCACAGACTCGCCGCGAGGAGAAGAAGAGAGCCGAGAAGGAGAGGATCATGAATGAGGAGGATCCTGAGAGACAACGCCGCCTGGAGGTGGGAAACCAGAAAGAAGCAAATGCACAAACACAAAAAATATATTTAGAGGAAATAATTGTTACTTTTGGGAAATGTGCTTTTTTTCCTGCTGTCTTGCCTTAAAATCAATTAGTTAATTTTCAACACTTCTTTTGGCAAATATGTAGCTAGGGCCAACAACCAGTTAGTTTGGCATGCCAGCGAGAAACAGGGCTCTGTTAAAAAATGACAACATTCTTCTTCATCATCTTAAACTTTATCAACACGTTATAACTTCTTCCTTCACAGACACTGAAATGTTGAAACAACAGTAAGCAAATCAAAGGACATTTCTGTGTCTATCAATCTTTATTTGTTTAGTGCCAATTCATAACAAATGTTATCTCAAGACACTTAACAAAAGAGCAGGTCTAGACCGAACTCTTTGTTATATTATCTACAAAGACCCAACATTAATCCATCATGAGCACTAAGCAACATTTAGCAAAGTGACAGTGGCAAGAACAAACGTCCTTTTTTAAGAGACAGACACCTCGAGCAGAACCAGTGTCCGGTGCAAGACACTTAGCCCCAAGTTGTTCCCACTGCATGAAAGGGAATAGTTTCTTCTGATGGTCACTTTACCTAATAAGCTCTGCCATCAGTGTGTGAATGTGTGACATGCGGTGTAAAAGCGCTTTGCGTTGTGAGAAGACTAGGCTAAGCTAAACTAAACCAGTTGCTTGTTATACTTCATCATTATTTTACAAACAGGAGAATTGCTCCAAGCTTTTCATCTATTATCTATGATAATGAATCATGTGCCTTTTCAAAGTTGTACGCACATTCAAACAAAATCACAATTTTTTTTTTTTACCGTTGACTTTAAGATCTTTTAAACTTTTTTTTTGTTTTGTTCCTTTTTCTTTCAGGAGGCAGCTCAGCGCCGCGAACAGAAAAAGATCGAGAAGAAGCAGATGAAGATGAAGCAAATCAAAGTGAAAGCCATGTGAAAGATCACCACAGGGATAGTGACACAAGCACACGTAAAAGCGGTGCTCAGTACAGACGGTTTCCTCCATCTTCTCTCACCACAGTCCGCAGCTCTGGCTCCCAGTCGCTCCAGCTTTAAAGAGACGTCATGTGCCTCTGTTAAGCTTAGCTGTCTGTCACCAACTGCTCCGTTTGGCTTAACCTTAACGACTGAGTGTGAACCGTCTGTATCAAGCGAGAAGGACTTTTTCACCTTCAAATCTGTCACCTATAATTCAGCATTTTTTTTCTGTCCAGGTATCTTCTCAAAATAAATTGAAGCGCTCTCTGAAGGCTGTGTAGCTTTTTGAGCTTTTTAAAACCTAATCTGCTGGGAAAGAACATACTATTGGGTGGTATTGCACCACATTTTAAAAGGAATTCAAAAACGTCTGTGGTTTCAGTGGGTATTTATAAGCATTTGTATAATCCTGAGCTCAATTTTTTTATTTATATCTGCTATGAGATTGGTTTCTTGCTGGCTGTTTCTAATGAATATCTGAACAACAATAAAATGCACTGGAATCTGACAATAAACCTGTTTCTATTGTGTTTTTAATGGTAGAAAGTCAAGTAACTTCATGAGAACTTACTCTGAGTCCAATAAATATCCTGATTCAGTTAACGTGATCAAAACTGAGACTCAGACCTCGCATTAGAAGAGTGCGGGTCTATAAGGAAGACCAGAATGGGCAAGGCTTGATGCTAAATATAACTCCTAGATTGTGTCAGCAGTCTCTGCTCTAGATTTGGTTACATTAGTGGTTACCAGGCTAAAATAGATACAATGACCATGTGTATCAGGATGTAAGTCTGACTATGTCCTACATCTAAACTATAATTAATTAGGAGTCAAATGAAGACGGTCAACTTACTTTGAAGCTCCTTTGAATTATTTAAAGTGTTGAATGAGATCAGAACTGATTTGCGCAACTTCATAGCAACCTACCTTTGTAATTTTAACACTCAAAGGTACAGCAGACACTAAAATCATTCTAAATTTGGCAGAAATAGATTTGATTTCATTCACTGTGCTTACTTTATATACACATATAAACATAGAATCTTAGTTATTAATATTTTGTGTGTAACGTTCTGTCTAATCTCCTATCATGTCCCTAAAGGGTTAAGACACAGACTTTATCTTACTTGTTAATAACTAACTAGATTAATTTAACTATGATAAAGGATGCTACAATTAAAAAAATATATATACATGTCCATAAGATGAATAAACAAACTATCACCAAGGTTTAAAATAACAGTCTATGGTATAATAAAGTAGTTTAAAAAAAACAGTTACAACATTTAACTGCTGCTTATGTTTATTCCCCAGTAGGCCTAATTCTTCCAACACATATTCACTGTATAAGCAGTAAAACACTGACTTTTGATGATTGGATAAATAGATCTGAATACTTGGCTGATGATGCTTTAAATGTAAAATTTTTAAGGATTTATTTCCTTTAATGTCATGTCATTTACACAACATATTTCAATACTGTTCACTCTTTTCACATTGTATAGATAGTATCATGAATTTACATTTGCTGTGTTGTTACCACAGACTGTAAATATTATTACTGATCAGCCTTAAGGGGGCGCGATGATCACCGTCGTCGGCTTCGATTCGCATGAGCAGATTCAAACACGATTATTCAGCTGTACGATAACGACATTAATAAAAAAAAATGAGGGCAGTTATGCTGCTATAATACGTTTATTATTAATTGTGTAAATATAAAAGCATAAAGGTGTCATTTTGAGATAAGTGGCCTTTTTGTCCTATTAAAATTTTCACTTATCAGGAGGGGGGGGGGGGTGTTTGGCGAAAGTGCCGGTGAGGAAGCGCAGGCTTGCATTCGCGTACACTGATGGAGAACAGGCGAGGCTTTCAGGTTGGTTTGTGTGCGATGGCGGCTCCCTCAATAATATCGGGATTTTAAAGCGGAAAAACAATGGCTTCACACCCCCGGAGAAGCGCGTTGTTGTCTTGACTAGCGACCGGAATGATAGCGGTGTCGGTTTGACTCGTAAGTTGTGCTCAAGCGACGGCTCGGAGGTGTCCTTTTCTCTCTGTTTTTCTTGTTCGTCTCTCCCCCCCCCCACCGCCCGCCTCCCGGGCCTGGCTGGAGCTGCCTACACGGTAGCGGCGGGTTGCTACTTTCGGATGAGCGGGGCAGTAGGTCTCGGGAAGAGGTGGGGTCTGAATTTAGACAAACCCGGGGCAAACCGGAGCCTCTAAAAAAAACATAACAACACTGATAAAATGTTATGTTTGCGTGCGGAGGGCTCGTACGATCAGAAATCTGCCTCCTGAGTTGGTGCTGCTGCTAGTTAGCTTTAACGTTAGCCAACGGCAGAATTAACTCACCATAGCTGAGGCGAGAAAGTATTTTATCGTGAATTAGCGTTTTAAGAAAAAGCCGCTTCCGATTGTATTGCTCATGCGGAATAGTTTGGGATCAATATTTTTTTAAAAGCTTTATTAATCTGCGTGTCGGAAGACGGTTTATGTGCATTTTTTTTTTCTGTTGGCGCTACTAGCTGAACTAACTGCTCAGTGACGTAACGCTGCTCATTGTTTTGACAGCGTGCATCGTCTTAGTTGTCGCTGTGAATCTCCTCATTGTTATCCTGTTTATTGTTTTTTTTTCTTTCTTTCTTTTTCTGCTGTAAAAATAATTATAGGCAGATGTATTTTTTTTTTTTTTAAGAGAAGTTCATGTTTTTTGGATTTACAGATGTGACGCAGCTCACCGTCCTGTCATGTTACTTTTTTTATAATCTGTAAAGTAATATGTAGTCTTTTTACATTTCACTGCACATCTGTATGAGCATGTGATAAATAAAATTAATCTTGAATCTTATAATGAACCCACTGCCCGCCGTTTTTTATATATATATATATATGTATTGTGGTGGTTTTGTTAATTACTGCAGCATTTCAGATTATTGTAGTTCTATTTTGTAGTTCTATTTTGCAGCTCATCAATTAAAGCATCACTGCCCCCAAACAGTAGCTACTGCACTGACTTAAATCCTTTATTTTCCTTTGACACTTAGTTGTAGGATGGATCCAGAAGGAGGGGCAGATTCACAAAAAGCTGTCAGTTTGCAGTGGAAGAGCTACAAACTCGTCCAGGATCCAACCATTCGACGGGTCACTCAAAAAATCTACAGATATGATGGAGTCCATTTCAGTGTACCCGTGAGTTCATTTTTCTGCTTTTCCAGTTCATAATGTGTTTGCATTTATCGAACTTGAACTTACACCTAAACATGTATTTGCTCAGGACTCCGGGTTTCCTCCTGTGGGTGAACTGCGGGACCCTAGACCCCGGAGACTGTGGTCCAGGTACACCGAAATGTCTTTGCCAGTGCCGAAGTTTAAGGTGAGAATAGGGGTTCAACATTAAATTCACACAAGGCAGCAGCTTTTATCCAATGGAAGGGCAAACTATCATCCTCTTATTTGGTCCTTTTCCTTCACAGCTTGATGAGTTCTATGTGGGTCCCATACCCCTCAAGGAGGTGACCTTTGCTAGGCTCAATGATAACATCAAGGAGCCCTTCTTGGCAGAAATGTGTGCTAAGTTTGGTGAGGTGGAGGAGATGGAGATCCTGTTTCACCCAAAGACCAGGAAGCACTTGGGCCTGGCCAGAGTGTTGTTCACCAGCACCAGAGGAGCTAAAGACACAGTGAAGCATCTGCACAATACTTCTGTCATGGGCAACATCATTCATGCTCAACTGGACATTAAAGGTAAGCTGAGTAAACACCCTATCTGAGGCTTTCTGAAATAAGAGTTGGTTATAATGTACAACTTATTATAGAGATGATTCAGACTAGGGATGAACATTATGGAAAACTGACATTGAGAAAACTGGCGGCTTTGGCTTGCATCAAACAACACAAAAGTGGCAGCATGATGTGCATCAGGTCACTTGACTGGCATCGCCGAGAGAGTCTCTCTCTTCAAGGTGGCACTACACCTGAATAATTCAAGAGTTTAAATTTAAAAAGAAAAATGTAAGAATTTTTTAATCTGTAAAATGGTACAAGCGGTTTTGATTTATGTGCTACCTTACAATTTAATCAGAGAAACCTTGAGTTTGTAAAAATAGAGAACTGAAATCAAGTTTTTAGATATTCTGCTGAATCACAAACTAGTCAAATCGCTGAAAAGAAAAAGGGGTTAATGTTTGTCTTGTATACATCTCAATAGTTTATATCTGTTGCTGAGAAGTTGTATTTATTTATTTTTCTGTTGCTTTTGTTTTACTCTCAGGTCAGCAAAGGCAGAAGTATTATGACCTGATAGTAAATGGGTCCTACACCCCTCAGACGGTGCCCCTGGGAGGGAAGGCTTTGACAGACAGGGTCCAGCCTCCGACCCCGACACAGCCACAACCACAGCCACAGCCTGATACAGTATGTTACAGCATGATTGTTACTTAAGTTGATATATGATACTTTGATGTTTTCAAGAGCTTTTTAAGGTTATAAGAGTGTTTCTAGAAATGATGTTCTCATACTTTGTTATATTTGATTGACTTGCTAATAACATATATATAAATATGTTATAGTGAAATCTATATCTCTATAGGGGATATCTTAGTCTGACAACAGATGTTTACTTTAGAAAATCTAACTCATACCTTTTTGCTGCACAGTCATCAGAAATCAGGCGAAGGCTCTCAAGTGAGCTTGCAGTTTTGGCAGCAGGGGTCCAGGCTCTTACATCAGGGAGTGTCACCCCCTGCTCTGCAGACACTGGTTTTGGTGAACAGCGTCTGGACACGCCCCCCTCTTCCATGTCTGGCCCCTTCACCCCAGGCTCTTCTGCTTCATCTCAGGGTGGCGGAACACCTCACAGCTCAAGATCTGGGACTCCTTTCTCACAAGATTTAAACTACACCGGGGGCAGGTCAGTTTTTGAAGCATGTGTTGACTTTACTGTTAACATAGTGGCACCTTTTAGAAAGACACTAATTCAGGTCCCTCAGTCAAAGCTGAGACACTTAACACTAATTCATCAGTAAAAAAAAGTCACACGAAAGTGTATGAGACATCAAAATCCATTCCTCTTATCATGCATGTTGTCTTTGCATTTTATCAAAATCACAATTATTACTGTTTTAATTTAGTTATTACTTTTCAGCTGTAGAAAAAACATCAATCATTTTTGAATGATGTTTGGCTGTTTTAGGCTTTAAACAGCAGTGTTGACTGAAGAAATCAATTGTAGAGTGGGAGTCTGTAGCTGTAATGTTGGAAATATAAGGGATGCACCAATGAATCAGCTGAACGTCGGTATCTGCTCTGTTGACAAATATTGGCCAATCAGCTACTAATGTGGCAGGTACCAATGTCCGTAGTGTGTGTCTGTGGTGTCTCATCAACTTTAATGCGGACAAGCTAATTTATCTCACTGCTGATTAATAGAAGATGTGTTTTTATTGGCAGAAGAAGTCACCTGTTTCACAAACTCTGATTTGTTTTCATGGTCAAAAGTGAAAGAAAATGTTGGCAAGAAAATATTACATCTTCTCTGGGAAGGATCCATTTGTAAGACAGGGGAGGGTCTATTGCCAATTTAAATGCATCAAATCACGTAGTTCATATAAAAAACAGACACAAAGAATTGACTAAAATTAATTAATTATAACAAATGAAAAAAATCATAAGAATCAACAATCACCTAAGTTGTTATTTTAAACAGTATCTGTCTTTCTCCTGAATTTCACAATCCATGCATCCCCAATATCAATAATGCTAAGGTATCTTCTTTACCTTGTTTTGCAGGCATACTGGCTACAACACTGGCACTTTGGGCAGCGGATACCCTCCGCAGGACATGCTTCCTTCCTCCTCCTCGTCTTCTGCAGTTTCATCTACTGTGGGAGGATACAAAGTGTCTCGCTACTCTGAAGATGCACAGGAACCTGCAGTGTATAATCGAGGCCGCCCTATGTATCCGCCAACCCCAGCGTACCGTTCCAACGAGCCACCGTGCTACCCCACATACCCCGGTGTTGGAGGGCCTGGGCCACACGTCGGACACCACTCCTCAATGCCTCCACCACCCTTTGCCACCCAGTATGATCAGCCCCCGATGTCGGACAGGGACCGCGACAGAGACTCAGGGGGCCGTTATGTGGCCGGGGCGATTGGCTCCAGAAGGTCATCTTATCATCACCAGCAAGACACAAACTCTTCCTCAAAGTACCATTCCCATCACTCCCATCATCACTCAGATCGCAGGGACGAGAGGGGGTATCGGCGAGACAGCCAGGGCTCTCGATCGGGTGAGCACAGCCACCAGAGACACCGCAACCACCACCATTCACACAACCACCACGGCAGCAGCAGCAGCCGCAGGAGGAGCAGCCATGACCGGGACAGGGACCGAGACAGAGATCGAGACAGAGACCGGGACAGTGATTTGTCGAACAGCTCTGACCCCAGATACAACTCAAACTCTTACCGCTCTTCCTCGAACAGCATGTCTCCTCCCCCCTCATCATACTCTTTGTACCCCTCTTCCAAAGAGCCTGCCACAGCCCCTCCTCAGGGATTGGATATTCCCACTCGTCTAGGGGCCACAGGCCTCGCTGATAGAAGCGCTCAGCCTTCAGTAGGTGCTGAAAAAGACTTCAACACTGGACACCACAGTGCTCTGCCGCCACCACCCCCACCGCCACCTCCACCACTCCCGCCAGCCTCTGTCATTGCAGCAGCTGTAGCTGAGACACTTGGAACACTAGACTTCAACCAGGATAGTCCAGCCCACGAAGAGCAGTGGACAAAGCCCAAACGCCGTCCCAGCACACCGCCCGCACCGCCGAAGACGCCTCCACCTCCCCCTTCCTCCCCTCCCCTCCCATCCATTGCGTCTTCCTCTACCTCCCCTTCCTCTTCTTCCCTCCCCCAACAGCTTCCCTCCTCCTCGAGCTCTCCACCACCCCCTCAACGTGACTCTTCCTCGCCTGAGCCAGATTCCACCAACGAGAGTTTACCGTTTGTCTATCACAGCAGCAGCCTTGACTCCCGCATTGAAATGCTCCTCAAGGAACAAAAGGCAAAATTTTCTTTCCTTGCCTCTGATGAAGAAGATGAGGAAGATAGGAAAGAGGAGAAGCAGAGGGGGGTTCGTGGGGATGGAGGACAGCGAAAAGTTGGGGTCGGTGATGCAGCAGGGGAGCGCACAAGTGGCAATGAGGTGGGAGACAATGGGGAGAAGGACCACAGGAGGAAAGGGGAAAGAGACCGAGACAGCCATAAGGGAAGGAAACGTGGAAAGGGTGGAGAAGGTAGGAAGAGTCCCACTGTACATACAGCCACAACACCCTCCTCTTCAACCTTCTCTGCCCACATTTTGCCTCCAGAGGAGCCCCAGTCCCAGGTTGGCCTCACTGGGACTGGAGCTTTGCAAGAGGAATCTTCACAGGTTGGATTTGCTGATACACTGAGCAGGACAGGAGCACACACACCACCTTACAACGGACGGAGTCAGGTAACTAAAAAAAGCACACAATGAAAGTTCTGGGTTCAGGTTAGGCAAAGTGTAATTCTTTTATTTGTGGGGATCCAGTCGTCTGTAAGTAGCATTTTCTCATTTTTTTATTGCAACAATATCTAACTTTGTCAAGTTTAAATAGGCGTTTCAATGGTTGATGGTTGATATTACAAAAACTAACAACAGGGAGAATGGCGTCTCTCATGTCCGCAGCATGACCAAATTGCCTTTTTAATGCACAATGTCAACTTGGCAGCAGGCTGATGTCACGTCGCGAGAAGTGTGTACGGCTTTACGGCACTAGATCGAACAGAAGCCTTAAGTTATAAAAAGAAGCCAGTTAGCCGTTCTACTGTTTGATACAATGGCTGAGGCTAAGAGGAAGCGGATGGTGACAAAATGAAGCTAAGAAAGAAAAAGAGAGAGTGGCCCGAGCCAGAAGCAGAGAGTACATCCCTGCAGATATTATGAATAACAGATTGCAATGTAACGTTAGGCTGTATCGTTATGCAAGTCATCTTTCAGTCATGTTTAAGGTTTCATATAACTGAATACTTAAATCCGTCTTATGACAGAAGTTGTCTCTTTCCTTGTCGATTTTCAAGTTAGCTTAATAAGTTTGGAACCTTACCATCCAATCTCAACTAGCTTAATAAATTACCAATTTAGCCGCAGCACATAGATATCATGGCAACAGTTAAATACACATACACAAACTCCACATTCAAACTGTTTGCAAACAACAGGCTGAAGACACTTGCGGTCATATTTGCGTAAAATCCGGTTATATTACTGTACCTTGTCAGTTGACACCGTTGTTTGACTTCTCTCATTAAAGTATTTGCCGGCTGCAGACTCTACATCAGTGCAGTTTCTCTCAGGGACCTTAGGTGGGCACCAAAGCGCACTGAACCAAATTCTTACATATAAAAAATAAGTAGTGTAGCTGATAATCTCATTTGTCTTTTTAGTTCAAATAGAGGCGTTGGTATATATTTCAGTCTGTTTCATTACAAGTTTAAAATCTCTTCACAGGAGCTTTTACTACCAAGAAAAATACAAAAAGATAGTTGACAACCTGGGAAATAACTATTCAATGTGTTGTTTCTTTATTAAAGTGTGCTGAATTGTGCACACACAGGCAGATTCCTAACCTAGATGTTTTTTTTCTTTTTTTCAGTCCTCCCCTCGTTCCTCAGGTGAAGACATGGAGATCTCAGATGAGGAGGAGGAGACCCCCATAACAACGGTGGACACCCACCAGCCCACAGTCACCTCAGGTTCCTCGCCCACTTCATCCCAGGCTGCCATGCCATCCCAAACAACGGACCCCTCATCCTCACCCTCTGACTCAGCACAGCACTTTGGCACTTCCATGCACCCTACTATACCTTCCTATCCTCCACATTTGCCCCCTCCGCCTCCTCCTGGTTACTCCCTTCAGCCCCCACCTCCTCCAGGGATCCCTCCCCTTTCGCACATGGAACTGCACCCGGAGTACCCCCCTCCCATTCCCCACCACATGTACGACTACGCCACCTCCATGGAGATGATGAATCAGTACAGCGGCGGAGCTCCCATGTCCTTCCAAATGCAAACCCATATGCTAAGTCGGCTACACCAGCTGCGCATGTCGTCATCCAACGGCACCCCAGGTCCTGGTGAGGCAGCCACCGCAGACTACAACTCCTACCATCTCCACTCTATGCCCCCACCCCACACACACCATCCTTACATGGACCAAGAGGGTAGTGGGGCGGGCTCTCATTATGACCAGGACCACCGCTACATGCCACCCCACATGCCCTACCCCTACGTCGACCCACACAGCACTCAGATACCACCACCTCCACATCATGGAATACCTCCTCCCCATGCTGGGTGGCCGCAACATGTGATACCACCACAATACCCCTCTTACATGCCCCCACCTGGCTATGCAATGCTGCCTGGGGATGGAGGCGAGTATAGGGCTCCTGGGGAGGAGATGCCCATGCTGGTTGAAAATCCACATGAAGCCACAGTCCAGATGGTCCTGGCGACTCTGATCCAGGAAATGAAGAACATCATGCAGAGGGACCTGAACCGCAAGATGGTGGAGAATGTTGCCTTTGCAACTTTTGATGAGTGGTGGGAAAGGAAAGAGACCAAGGCCAAGGTAAGGATGACCAATCACACAATGGTGGCATTGTCATCATTTTAATTTTGCTGTTGATTTTTTTGTTTTGTTTTGTTTTTATGGTGAGCTATTTTGCCTATTCTCTGTCTACTATTTCACTAAATAAAGATAGTCATAAAGGATCTCTCGGTCTTATAACCAGCAAGGGGATTTTTTTTTGCTTTCTGTCATTTTTTTACCACTTGCAGCAGTTTGAATTGTTTTTCCTCCCTCTAGGTAGCAAAATGATGTTGCTGAATATACTGATCATATGCTGTAGCAAAAAAAAGGCAAAGGTGAAGAACTCTAAATTGTATCTGTTTTTCTTCCTCAAGCCTTTCCAGACAATGGTTAGGGGGGTGTCTGCCTTACGAGAAGATGAGAAAAAAGAGGAGAAGGTCAACCGTCCTCGGGAGCCTCTCACGTCGTTGGTAGATTGGGCAAAGAGTGGTGGCGTGGAAGGATTTTCTCTCCGAGGAGCCCTACGACTGCCTTCCTTTAAGGTAAAGACATACTGTATCTTGGATTGTATCTTCATGTTTGTCAATCCAAACTTTGATTTGATCAACTAAAATAACAGCATTTACACACATGATTACAAACACACACAGGCAAGTGTAAATTGTATATTTACCAAGACATAGCTCTCCCCAATCCATTTTTTCAATTTGAACCTTGTTTTTTATTTTCTGATTAAAAACCTTCCCTGCAATGTCACTTAACAATACTGTTCTATGGTTAGAATTACAGCTACTTTTTGTTCAGCTATACTGCCAGGACTCCAGCATAATTAACCAATAAACCATTACGGGCTAATTTTAGTGAAGGTCAAACATACAAAAAGAATGCTGTAGTGTTTGGTCTTGTGTCATTTTGTTGGTTCATGTTCAATCATGCAGGTGAAAAGGAAAGAACCTCAGGAGCTTCAGGAGGGAGACATGAAGAGGCCGCGTCCTTCAACCCCACCAGACGAGGATGACGAAGGTTTGCTGAGATGTTAAAAAGACTTTTTAAAGGAAGGGGTTAGATTAATAGGCCTGCTGTTATCAATCTTGAATGTTTGTCTTGTTTCCAGCCACTGAAGGGAGAATGCCAGAGGCAGACAGGCGTGGAGCTGAAAGGGACAACAAGAGGAGGAAGAAGAAGCCACGAAGTCGTAAACCTTGGGAGCTTGGCAGTGAGGGTGAAGAAACGTCTGATGGGTCCTCAACAGAGAAGGTATATTTTTTATGAACACACATCAATAATAAAAAATAAAATGCACTTTTAGACCACAGAGAAAAAGAAATGTGCTTGAGTGTTTTGTTTGAAACTCCTTTATTTTCAAGTGTATAAATTATATAGTAAGTTAATTATTATGTGTTATGTCACTGTGTGATAATTGACTCTTTTACAAACTGATTGCTAGATGGCAGCATTTCACAGCTGTCTAGTCATGTTTTAACTTCAACCTTGTTATGTGCAGGAGGATGAAGAAGAGAGTGAAAAGGAATCTGATGGTGAGTTAATACCTTTGACCTCATTTCTGTCTTTATTACTCTGACTTAAAGTTAAGGCAGTTATTATACCAACTATCTGTTTTTATTTCTTTTTAAGATGATGCCCTTAGTGCTGACAGTGATGACGAGAGCCTCTCCTCATCTTCTGAGGGCTCTTCGTCTTCTGCGTCCTCCTCGTCCTCATCGACTGAAGATGAGGATGAAGGGGAACGAGGGAGGGCAGAGATTGAAGAGCCGGACTCCATGGACGATTCAACCATGGACAGCATGACTGAGAAAGAGCACCACAGGTATGCACGTAACACAGGAAATCCTTGCTCAGTCCTTGTGATTTATTTTAACCACACTGAGGGAGATTTACCCTTTGGAGGGCTTATTGAGAATTGAAAGTTATTACCGTACATGTATTTTTCATCATTTCAATTTTTGTCTTGTGTTTTTTTTTTCTCAGGGAAAATAACACAGCTGCTGTTCCAAAGACTGATATCAAAGCAGGTCAGTCTAAAATCTACATCATTATAAAAAGAAGCCTTTTACTTGAAGAAATGCAAAATGTTGATCAACCACATACAAGGTTAACTAATAATATTATAGTTTACAATGAGACTACACCTTGTGAACTTTGGCTTCAACTGCTCTTATCTTATGTATTTCTTTTTTAATCTTTTTTTCAGAACCAGATTTCTTGACAGGTGAAACCAAGGACAGCAAGGGAGATACAACAGTTCCTACCAAGCGCCCTTCATCGCCCCCATACCCACGTCCTTCCTCTCCGATTGTTCTGGTGCCACCTCTGAAGAAACGCAGGAAGACTGTCTCATTCTCCACTGGCGAGAGCGACGGCAAAACCCAGCTGCCGACTGCACCGCTATCTCCGGCTCCCTTGCAGGTGGCGGTTGAATCTCCCATTGTCTCTTCTAGCAGGCCGGCAGCAGACTCCCCCATCACTGCTGCCACAACCCCTTCAGCTCGTGCCACTCAGGGCATCCAACTTCTCCCCTTTGCCTCCAAACCCGGGGAAGGCAATGCGCTCATTGTGCCCCCACCTGGACGAATCCAAGATGCTGGCGAGTACAAAAGGGGACCACCTGTATCTCCTCAGACCACCCCTGTCAAATCCCCTGGAAAAAGAGGTGCAGGCAAAGAGTCCCCCAAATCCCCTGCGCCTACTGTTCTGGTGTGGCGCACTGTGCAGAACCTGCCTGTGGATCATGCTTCAATGTGCAGGCTGGCCTATGATGAGGCCCCCCTTCCAACTCCCGTCAACAAAAGGTCCAGAGGCAGGCCTCGGACGACCAGCATCTCTGCTTCTTCGCTCAAAGAGGAAGACGATGAGGATGATAATGAGCAGAGGTTGAGACTCAGAGAGCAGCTTGGGGCATCGAGCCTCCTACAGCTGGCCTCAGCTTCAACAACTGACCTGTCTGTGCTGGCTGACGTAGCCCTGAAAATGGACCCTGATGCCGGGGACTCCGAGGAGACAGAGACATCTGATGAGGCAGAGGAACAGAAGATGGAGGAGGACCTCTTCTCATCAGGGTCAGTGTCTCTGCTAATGAGCCAAGAGGGTGTAGTTGTCTTTATGGAGCACAACTACTGCAAACCCCCTCTTCTCACAGTACCAACTGTTACCAAAAGGACTTCCTCCAAACCAGACTCCTCCATCTTGCTCCCAGCAGACCTCAACTCTATTTCTGGGGTGCTTGAAGCGCCAGAGGAGGTCATTGGAGATGCACTACCACCCAGGGGAGATACAGGAGAATACTTGCCTGCAATCGGGGTGCTCTGTGAGTCTGAGGATGCAGGTCAGGCTGCAGCTCAGGCTGCAGCTCTTTCTCCCTCATCAAAGAAGATCGGGGTCGGCAAAGGTTTGGAACTTGAAAAGGACAAGAGCAAAAAAAGGAGAAGAAAAGACAAAGAGAACATTGAGGTTGATCACTCTAAAAAGCAGAAGGAGCTGCCAGGCAAGAAACAAAAGAAGCGGAAACGAGAGGTGCGTGTCAGTTCTGGTTTATACCTGTAAATCTTATACCTGTGGATGTGTCACAGGTAACAATGCGTACGACACAATAGAAATTGGATTCATCTATAGCTATACTGTTATTTTGTCGAATGTGTTCAGTGTAGGGTTGTCAATATACCATAATTTCAAACTTAGTTAAACTGTCGTATTTGTGCGATTTAGACACTGTTACATTTATACAGTTTTTCTTTTTTTCTCTCATGGCAACTTAGTAACATCAGTTCAGTGTGTTTTCACGTAATTCATGAAGTTATGTCGGCTTTCAATGTGTAAAAGTTGTCAGTAAACACATTCAACAGACTAGAAACTCTTAAGGCAGCAATGCAATATGTCAGGAATGCCTTCAGGGACTGCCTATAAATGTGTCAGATACCTTTACCTGAGGATGATAACATGTTGCTGGTTAAATTTCACTGTGATCTCTCAAATTACATTAATGGACAATATTGCAAAGACAAATATCACTCAAGTTATTGATAGGATGGTATGATGAAGGGAGGAAAAACAACTTTATTGCTTTTCCATAGTTGGTTCATTCACAGCTCATTGGTAGTAACAATCCTTTGCCTCTGTGTAGGACTCGGGGGATGATGTGGACGTGGAGGAGCTGGAGTCTGGGGAGCTGTCCAGCTCAGACACTGAGGACGAGATGGTTGAAGACGTGAGAAAGAGCGAGCGCCTCTTTCTGCAGGAGGCTGGGGTAACATCATCCCAGCGCTGGCCTAAGCCTATCCCAGCGCCCGAGGCATTAGCCATAAAGTATGAAAACCGCAGTGAGTTTGAGCAAATGACCATCCTCTACGACATCTGGAACTCTGGTCTGGATGGAGAAGACTTGACGTTGCTGAGGAGGACTTATGAGAAGCTGCTTCAGGACGACCACAGCTCTGACTGGCTCAATGATACTCACTGGGTCGGCCACACAAATATCCTTATCAATGATTGCCTCCTGTGTCTGTGTAGAATTCTACATCTTTATATTTTTTAAGTGAATAGATTTGTTATAGCTTCACGTCACTGCTCGGTTATCTGCTATTTGCCTTGACCTTTGAGCTGCACTAACCAATTTGCCGAACCCTCGGCGAAAGAAGAAGAATGCAGGTGGACAGCTTCGTGAGCATGTGACCGGTTGTGCCAGGAGTGAGGGCTACTACGCCATCAGCCGCAAAGAGAAGGATGTGTATCTGGACCTGGATCTTCCTGAGCAGGTCATCCGGGAGGTGGAGAATGTTGACGCCTTGGTAAGCATACAGTGTTTATCTCGTCAACGAAATAAATTACGAAAATATTAGTTGACGAAAGTCTTTATAAATTAGTCAACTATGACGATGACGAGACAAAACTCTGCTATTTGACAATTTGATAAATAATATTACTTCATCATCTAATTGACGAAAATGTGACGAAACAAAAACTACATTACAAGTGACGATTATCACGTACCCCCTCTGTGTGTGTGTGTGTGTGTGTGTGTGTGTGTGTGTGTGTGTGTGTGTGTGTGTGTGTGTGTGTGTGTGTGTGTGTGTGTGTGTGTGTGTGTGTGTGTGTGTGTGTGTGTGTGTGTGTGTGTGTGTGTGTGTGTGTGTGTGTGTGTGTGTGTGTGTGTGTGTGTGTGTGTGTGTGTGTGTGTGTGTGTGTGTGTGTGTGTGTGTGTGTGTGTGTGTGTGTGTGTGTGTGTGTGTGTGTGTGTGTGTGTGTGTGTGTGTGTGTGTGTCAATGTGGTGTGTGTGTGTGAGACAATGTGCGAGACAATGTGCAGCCTGGAGCCTCTCATCTGGAGGTCTGTGAAGCCCCGCCTCCTGGAGCTTCTGATAATACAAATTAAAGCTCGCGTCTGATTTTGTGGACAAAAATATCTTCTATTTTAGTCAGTGACTAATTGACTAAATTAAATCAATAACAAATGACTAATATCTGACTAAATATAAAGGACATTTTCATCAGGAGACTATGACTAAATTAGAAAAGTTACTGACCTTCCCAATAGGTCGTCAGCACCCCGCATGAGAATATAGATTATTGCTCTTAAAAAGCTGTAGGACCCCTGTATGTTTGCGTGCAAAGCCCTGCTGAGACGGTTCATTGTAAAATGTTAAACAGTTGCTGTGTTACAAAAGTAGGTTAAAGTGAATAAAAACCCACATGTGCCTTGGGTAGATGATGTGGAAAGAGTTACTGTTCAGCTCTGTGTTGGCTCTGAAAACAAACTTCAGGGGGGTTCCCTGGTTGCTGAATGTTATTATTAAAAAGGGGTTACAATTATTCTTGATAATGCCTGCCAGGAATTGGCTTAGATTAGCTGACAGTTGGGGGTTTGGATCATGAGAGGAAGGAAAAGAAGAAGGGTGGTGGATTTGTTGACCTGTGATGTGGCTTTTCCAAATAGCTGATGACTAAAGGCTTCGTAACGTTAAATATTTTAGATTTTGACTTTCTGTTCAGTTAGATGATTCGATAACTCGTGGCTGAACATCATCATTTTAGCTGTTCTTTGGGCATCACAATAATGTGTTTGTCCACTCTTGTATTAAGATGGTAACCAGCATTGTTGCGATAACAGGATTTTAAACTTGGATATGATATCAGTAGAAACCAAACACATATGTTACCTGTTTTGACACCATGGTAACATAAACAAAGAGGTCCTAGGCATCCCAAATTTGGAAAAAGATTGGGAAAAAGACAGCGCTGTGTTTCATTGGCTTGTGTTAGCTTTTGGTTAATAACCAACTATGACTGAAGATTTTTAGTTCTTAAGCTTTCATACCTTTCAATACTATGGATCATTGAAAAATTGGATATTGTCATTTTAAAACATTTGGTATTGAAGTGTTGAACATTTTGACTGCTGTATTCATGAATATTAAGAAAAGCCCATTTCTTCATATCACAAGGACACAAAAAGGATAAGTCATTACCCTTAGATATAGCTATCCATGACTCAGCACTAAATCAGATGAAACAGAAGACAACTTTGATGGATCAGCTCTATTGTGCACTGCAGACTGTACTCCAAGATGTTTTAATGTCTACCTAGTGGTCTGTAAGTTTAGTGGCAATATTTCCAAAGCAGAGGCTCATGGTGTCTCCATGTGCTTCATAGAACCATGTGCTTCAAAAGGGCTATCCATTGTTTGGTTGGTGGTAAGCACTCTGTCTTTTTAATCAAACAGCTTTTCTGTTTGGATTTGGACCAACTTTGAATGCCACCTGCCTTCTCTGCACATATCCAACTTATTGATTCAACACTTGGTACACATAAAGTTGAATGACCTCTTAAAAAAACCGAATCGACACAAAAGGTTGTGTTTACCACTTGTTGACTAAATTTGGCCACTGCCAACTAAACAAATGGGCCGCTGATGGCCTTGCAGTTAGGTGTCGCCAACTGCATGGAGGTTAAAGTCCTCCAAGCGGGTGACTCGGGTTCAAGTCTGACCTTTGGCTCTTTTCCCCACTCTTTCCCACTTTTTTACTTTTTTATGTCCTATCGAAATAAAGGCAAAGGGATAATATACAGCTTTAAAAAATAAAAAAAAAGTGCTATTATTGTTTTATTATTAAAAACAAAGAGGTGATATAACAGCCTTTGACATTATAAAAAGATACAGGATATATCATAAGGAGAGGTGGTAGATTACAAAGTGATATGAACTCAGACAGTAATAGCAGAAAGAGTTCTTTTGGTTTGAAATAGTGGGCTGGAGCAGCTTTATCTAACATTATCAGTATCACATTATAAATCATGTTTGACATATTCAGGCTTTCGTTATGATCTGTTGGTTTAATATTTCTCCTATCAAAAGTCATATCCTGTCTTTAATTGACTAATCATTATTATGTTATGCAGTGATAAAAAGCCTTTGTGTGACATGTTTTAACATACTTTGTATGAAGTTACATCCACTTCTCTGTCAGCTATCTCCTCACAGTCTTATCTGCTTACTCAGTCATTTGGTTTCTAAATGACCCTTACACACGCTAACATGGTTGTTGCTCATCAAGTGCTTCTCTGGGTCAGTCTCCTTCATCTCATGGTCATATGATAACACACATATTATGCAACTTTGTAAAGCTCTTGTTGTCTTTTTTTCCTAACAGGCTGCAAACCGGGTGCTATCAGAGAGACGTTCAGAGCAGCGGCGCCTCCTCACTGTCATCGGCACCACGGCTGTCATGGACTCTGACCTGCTCAAACTCAACCAGCTCAAGGTACTAACTATACAACCGTGTAATTTCATTTACTCAATCAGTTACAGATAAATATTAAACAGCATCGTGGCGCAGTGGGTAGTGCGCTTGGAGTCCCATGTATGGACTCCAAGCTTGGAGAAAACTGCCTCCTTTGGAGCACTCTGATAACATGAAAGCTATCTCCCATGTGACTCTTTCAGAAGAGTAGAAATAAAAAAACGATACATAAAGATTTCATGACAAGTTTGATATCACTGATGAACCATTGTTTTCACACCACCTACAAGCCCATTCATCTGAAACAATGCATTTGCATTCATGCACTGTGTGCCAGTACACTTTTGGCTTGGATGTGATTTTACAACACATGTTTTTCTGTTCCACTGCAGTTTCGCAAGAAGAGGCTTCGCTTTGGACGCAGCAGGATCCACGAGTGGGGTCTGTTTGCTATGGAGCCCATTGCTGCTGATGAAATGGTCATTGAGTATGTGGGTCAAAACATCAGACAGGTAATGCCTACAATCCCTTGTTATGTGTTGAACTAGTGATGCTTTTACAGCAAATATTCCAGACGTTCTATACAGTCAGTATAGTGACTTTATATCACAGTATGCATAACGGCTAATATACAAGTTTAATATAGTTCACACTACAAAACTATTCCAGACAGCGTGTTTATAACTCTAAATAAAAGACAATGTTTAAGATACATTTTAGAAATTGGTTGGTTTAGTGTCAACATATGATCAGTGAGACAATGTTTGGTTGTGTCCAGATGGTGGCAGACAATCGAGAGAAGCGGTACGCTCAGCAGGGCATCGGGAGCAGCTACTTGTTCAGAGTGGACCATGACACAATTATAGATGCCACCAAGTGTGGCAACCTGGCACGATTCATCAACCACTGCTGCACTGTAAGTCTCAACATCCTCCGTCAACACTCACAGACATCTGTCATGTTTTAGCATCACGGGCCAACAGGCTACAACACGTGGCTAATTTTTGATTGTAAATCATCTCTGGAGCTGTTTCTCATCTGTCTCTTGTTGCTCTGTCCCTCCAGCCAAACTGCTACGCCAAGGTTATCACCATAGAGTCCCAGAAAAAGATTGTGATTTACTCCAAGCAGGCCATCGCTGTCAATGAAGAGATCACCTACGATTACAAATTCCCCCTAGAGGACAACAAGATCCCTTGCCTGTGTGGAACAGAGAACTGCCGTGGGACATTGAACTAGCGGACAATCTTCTCTCCCTCACTTGCCAGACCCCACTGGTTCACCCTACTCATAGTTTAGCACCCTCTGATACCCCCTTCCACTCCTCCAGGTGGCCTCACTGTTGTCCTCACAATAGCCAGGAAACCAAGACACACACACACACAGTTGCACTTTTCTTGCACACTTGTCATTCTCTTGGCAGTTTCACAAGGCAGTGTACGAGGGCTTTGTGTTACCTGGAAACGCAAAAGCTATGAGGAGGGCCTCTGTCCCACCATCTGCTTCTCTGTGGCAGTATTGTTGGACTTGACTGGACGTGCAGCCAGGCATGAAAGGTCTCTCTATGTCCATGCCAATATTCGTTTGAAGGAACACAATGAAGACCGAGAAGATAGACCACAAAATACCACACTGTTTTTCCTTTTTTCTTTTCTTTTTTCTTCTAGTCCGTAGGTCAGATCACGTTATCCACACAATTTCAATGCCCCCCCAATGTCCTCCCCGCCTCCCCTCTACCCACACAAATCCGCACACTGACGCACAGGAATATCAGACAAATTCAGGGTTTTTAAAATCGCTCGTTAAGGGCGCACTTTTAAGACAAAAAAAAAAACTTCAATTTGGTCTTCAGTTATGCAAGATTTCCAAGTGTGAAGATTGTTTTTGAGCATTTTTTTGTTTTTAATTTCATTTCATAGTATTATACATTAATATTACTATTGCTGTTATTAATGGTATTTAGTTGCTTTAGCTGTAAGTATCTGACAGTGAAATGAACCTCACTGTACCCACCCACTGCCTTCAGTGGCTTGTGAATCACCAGCCCTATAAAACTTATTTTCCCTTCTTCACTGTGCGTTACTCTCCTGATTTGCCACAACCTTCTGTCTGAACGAGAGTAAAGCCTTCTGAACATTTCTTTTTTGTTCTACCAAATGTGAAAATATAAGTTAACTTGTTCCTAAAAGTGCATTTTGTTTTTACATGGCTGCAGATATTTGTCTGTGGGAGTATCACATCAGAGCATCACTCTGTTTCTTTGGTTTCTTTGTTTCCCCCCCCACAGTTTTAAGCTTCACCATCGAAAGGTTTTGAACACAGAAGTGTTTGTAGGATCCGTCTGTCTGTTTTTCTGTGTTTAGTTGTTACTTCCCTGGTATTTACTTATTTGGTTTCACTCAGCAAATGTCAGATAAGTACTTCTATAGATGGTGAATTCCACGTTCTTCTTCCCTTAACTGTTTAATCAAATATGCAACCTGCAGGTCTGCTTCAACAGTGTGGGAAAGGTTTAACTCTGTCAGTCTGTGTGCTAAAAATGTTTTTAAAAGGCACATTATTTTATTAGATCAGGTCTCTTCAAATGTTTAGTTAAGTACATTTATTTTTTTTGCTGTTTTATTTGACTCCCATGATAAATTTGTGTTTATTTTGTTTGTGGAGTCATTAACCCCATGCAAAGCATCCCTCCCGGAAAAACCTATCAGCTTCACTCAAACAAATGTCCTACTTCAGTTCTGTTTGCAGTTTAGATGGTTGGAAGATATTTGTAGACAAGTGTCAGCAGGATTTTTTTTTTAGAGGCTGCAGACAGAGGGGTGCAGACGTCCCTTGTGCTGTCTCTCTTGTTTTTCACATGGCCATGGCCGTCCACAGTTTGAACTGTCATCTCGACTAGCAGAAGACTCTTTTATTTTGTTCCCTCCCGAACAGGAAAAATGTGTAAAATATTTTTTGTTGCAATGAAAGCCTTTCAGTACAAACCAACCCTATTGACTACAGGATAAAAAGATGAAAGGAAGAAAAAAAAATCAAAGTTCATGTAAATATTGTAGAGGTGTTTGTTTCTCGTAGAAACACACTGATTTCAAGCTGTAAATATGTCGTTCCTTTCCCTCTCTCCATGAGGAGGAAACATGTACATACCTTCCATTCTTTTATTTTTTATTGTTTTTCCTTTTAATTTGAGGATTATTTTAATATTATTTGCAATATTTCTCTTGTATTAATGCGTTGGACCCTTTATTAATGGTGCATTAAAATATTTTTTAAATAAATTAAGACTTTATTTTATTTGTCCAACTCCCGACAACAGCATCATTGTGTTGAAATGCTATACGATTGTAAAGGTCTGAGGAGAGGCTTGTGATTGGAGCAGGGGTGTGTGAGGCGAGAGCTGCTCAGAGTCGCTGGTTAGATAGCATCAACATTCTTCCAATTTTGATAAAGTAGTTATCAAAGTCCTAACCAGCCGACTCTATGTTGTAAGGTTCAGTACAGATTTAAAACTGTAGATGGAGTCTTGATCCATTTACCATATGTGATGACCCCTCCCTTTCTGCTCCCCACTCTGTCTGTCTGTTTTTGTGTTTCCCGTCTCTCGGCCTTGTGTTCTAACCAGGTGATTGGAGTTGGAATGTGAGTGGAGCTGGGAGGGTCGTTAGTCGGTGCCTGCTCAGCTGAGTAGGGCCTTCAGAAGGTTATTTAGGCCTGCCCAAGAGATGTGCTCACTCTCTCTCAGCTGGGGCATGCTGCAAACATCTGTACATTTATGTCTATGATCTATTGTCAACTGGATGACCTTCATATATGTGACACTTTTGTTAATTAAACTATTACTTGAATGAGTAATTCTGTGTGGCCTCCCTCCTTTGTTACCTGCCATGAGCCAGGTGGTAACAAATGGGGGCTCGTCCGGGATCTTTTCATGCCGGGATGGTTATACTTTAGCCATCCCAGCATGGCTTTTTTCTGTGTTTCACACAGAAAGATTGATTGCACTGGTTTTCAGAGTTAGAGAAGTCTTGTTAGTGGCTGTCTTTATTTGTGCAAATGTTTCTTCATACACTGTGGCCAGTTAATGTTAAATTGAAAGTGTGTTTTCATAAACTTCCAACTGGACTAGCTGCTCCGTCATTTGGAACCGTAATTGCTGTGAGGCAGTAACAATGGTGGACATAAGCTGTCCCATTGACATTTTTTGTTTTGTTTTAATTTGTTATTTTTGTGCAGGAGGTGGTTAGAGCATTGCTCGGGGGAACTTCCAGAACTGTCTAGCTGACAATCAGCTTGCTGGGGGTCAACCGAGTTGCTGGGCTCAGTGCTTAATTCATCCTGCTGCTGACCTGCTCGAAGACTAGGGTTGAGTGAGGCAGCTAGGTTTGGTTAGACAGTCAGCTAGAGGGATTAGGTTCCATAGTAAAGCTGCCTGTGTGGAAGTGATTGGAAAACTTTGCTTTTAAATTTGCTTTTCTGGCTTGTCTATGAAGTTAAAAAAAAAAAAAAGTTCACTGGGGTAAATGTTGGAAAAAGGGCGTCAGTTGAAGAGTTTATTCAGTTTCCAAGTAAGGAGTTGCTAAACTCTTATTAAAAAAAAAAAAAAAAAGACCAGCTTTTGAGAGTAGCTGATCTTCATTGTTTTGATCTTTCAAAAAAAATGAAGTAAAGATGAACTGTTGGCAGCGTTAGAGGCCCACTTAATAGATAAAAAAAAGTTTTGTCTTTTGAGGAGAGGAGTAGAAGTGCTCAGATAGAAATGACGGTTGTGTCTAATGTTTTTTCCCCATGTGAGTGTGTCAGGTAAAGTGTCTCCCACAGCTCCTGTGTTCACTGGTATTGGGGGTGGACTGACTTTTGATCAACAGAAACAGCTTCTTCTGCAGGAACAACAAACATGCTCTGGAGATGAACTCGAACTTAGAAGTGAGGGAAAGCTTCCAGCTGAGTCAGCAACTGTTTCTCTTCCACAGTCATTTGATGTCTCTGTTAATTTGAGGTTAGTGCCGAGGTTTAATGAGAGGGACCCTGACATTTTCTTTGTTATTTGAGCGGTTAGCTGAGGCAAGAAATTGGTCAGATGCTGAACGTACCCTGCTTCTTCAATGTGTTCTTACTGGCAAGGCCAAGGAGGCTTCCTCAGCTTTGAGTGTCAGCTATCAGCTGGCCAAAGCTGCTGTGCTAAGAACGTACGAGCTAGTACCTGAAGCATATCGACAGAGATTCAGATTCATACAGAAAGAAAACAGTCCTACACTGAGTTTGCTCGTAATCTGGCAACCCATTTTAACCGTTGGTGTACTGCGTCTCAAGTAGTGTCGTTGGAGGATTTGCAGGAGTTCATTTTACTTGAGCAGTTTGAAAACACTTTACCTGACCGCATTGCGACTTACTTAAATGAACAGAAGGTAAGCAAGGTTTCAGAAGCGGCCAAATTGGCAGATGAGTTTACATTGACCCACAAGGTGTCTTTCGTCGAGAGCAGGGGTCGTGCAGACTCTAGCTTCGGGGAGAGACAGGCTGGGACAACCTCCAGTAAGGGTTCAGGGAAACTGACCATGGCTCACAGGGAAAGTTTGACCCTAGTCGTGTCTGTAACTACTGCCAAGGTAAAGGTCACTGGAGGAATGAGTGTCCAGTGTTAAGGAAAAAGCTAAAGCTTGGGGGGTTATCAGCAAAGCCATCTGGGTCTATAAGTGATGTAGAGAAGGCCTGTGCTATAGCTGCAGTGCAGGCACACACACAAAGCCTTCAACAGGGTCTGTGATCGAGGTTGCTGATATGGAACACGGTCAGACAGAAACTATTGACCCGGGTTATGAAGCGTTTGTTTCTGAGGGATATGTTTCAGTAGTTGGAAGTGAGAACAGAGTTAAAGTTAACATTTTAAGAGATCCAGGAGCGCTGGATTCATTTATCATGGATTCAGTGTTAACGTTCTCTTCTATGACAGACACTGGTTCCTGTGTAGATGTCAGAGGAATGGGTTTAACTGTTTTCTCTGCTCCTCAGCATAAACTAACACTGTCATCTGACCTGGTGAAAGGGGACGTGGTAATGGGAGTGCGTCCATCTTTACCCATGTCTGGTGACCAGGTAATCCTGGGAAATGACCTGGCGGGAAATCGGATACGGCCTAATGTTCCTGCACAGGTGAAACCTCCAGACACTCGGATGGAAGCTTCTGAAAAAACATCTACTTTAGGGATTCCTACGGGGGCAGTGACACGTGCTATGAGCCGTGATGGTGGTGGGTCAGACTTTGAAGTTCCAGTTAAGAAAAAAATAATTGTTTTTTCCCCTGCCTGCTTTTCTTTGCCTGTGTCTTGCAGTGAACTTGTAAAGGAACAAAGAAATGATCCAACACTGCAGGATCTGTTCGGGAAGGTTCTTCCAGATGGTGAGTACAGTACATGGTTATTGTCTTAGAGATGGTATCTTGGTAAGGAAGTGGGTTCCTAAAGGAGACCGTTTTGAGGGGGGAGGAAGTGTTGCAGATTGTTTTGCCTGCTAAATTACACTCGGCTGTTCTCCAGACTGCTCACGGTGGCATTTCGGACCATTTAGGGGGAAAAGAAAACCTACGATAGGGTGCTGCGTCACTTTTACTGGCCTCGATTAAAAAGGGACATTTCTGCCTTTATTAAAACCTGCCACACCTGTCAGTTGACAGGTAAGCCTAATCAGGTAATAAAGTCAGCACCCCTTTATCTGATTCCGGTTGCTGACCAACCATTTGAATGTTTGATAGTCGACTGTGATGGTCCTCTGCCACGCTCCAAGGCTGGTCACACTTTCTTGCTAACTGTAATGTGCCTACCCTCTGAGAATATAACTACTGAGTCCATCTTAAAACCTTTAACCCAGTTCATGTCTGTTTTTGGTCTCTAGTATCTCTATCTTTTGGTTCTTTTATCAAAATGCCGAGCATCAAAACTGAAGCTTCTCCTGGCTCCGTTTTTAAATATGTTAATGTACAGCTGCTTGCTGCGGATTGTGTGCTGAACTCCAATAAATAACAGACTATCTGTTAATGTAGGCCTACGTTTACAGAATATCTGTTAATCTGTAGGCCTGCAGCTGCTTGCTGTTGTTTCAGTACTGAACTATAACAGAATATCGAGGCGTACTGCTGTTGTTGTTTATGTCTGTGCGCGAGCATAAATTGAGCAGATTAAAGTCGTTTGTTGCAAAAACTAGATTAATTTAGAGGGGAAAACACATTTGATATAAATACAACCCAATAGAAACTAAAGGCTTATGCGTTGGTGTCTTTTCCTACAACCTTACAAGACATACGACATGTAAAGGGCACTGAGAATGTCGTGGCGGATGCCGTGTCTTGGGCGATGGCAGTTGATTTGTGTGTTTTAATGTACTTGCAGCTTATCTTTGTCTGTTCTGGCTAGTCTCTCTTTAAGTGCTTCCTAGGTAACAAGGTTGCTGGGAGGTTGGTCTGGCAGTCAGGATTGAGAGTTCTTGCAGGTTGTATGAAGTCACAAGTTAAAATGAACAGTTATACCTGATAGTACTTGACACCCGATCGCTCACTTTAAATTCTAAATTTGGGGTGTAAGTTGAGTTGTTAATTGTTATGTGTAATGTTTGAGGAATCCAGTGAGGACTCCCATCTTAAGGGCGGGGGTGTGACGACCCCTCCCTTTCTGCTCCCCACTCTGTCTGTCTGTTTTTGTGTTTCCCGTCTCTCGGCCTTGTGTTCTAACCAGGTGATTGGAGTTGGAATGTGAGTGGAGCTGGGAGGGTCGTTAGTCGGTGCCTGCTCAGCTGAGTAGGCCTTCAGAAGGTTATTTAGGCCTGCCCAAGAGATGTGCTCACTCTCTCTCAGCTGGGGCATGCTGCAAACATCTGTACATTTATGTCTATGATCTATTGTCAACTGGATGACCTTCATATATGTGACACTTTTGTTAATTAAACTATTGTTTGAATGAGTAATTCTGTGTGGCCTCCCTCCTTTGTTACCTGCCATGAGCCAGGTGGTAACACATAACATTCACCTTTGATTGAACCATTGTGTCCTTTCACATTACTGCCACATTTTCACATTTTCAGCCCTGGTGATTATTCCATCAGTTAACTCTTATTTGAAATGTTTTAAGTACTTTAGACACACCGAAGATTTGCTAGGGTTTGAGGATTCATTTTCATACCATCAAAAAAATAATTCAATAAATGTTAATGTCCTTCGGAAGGATTGAAGCTTTGACGTCAGGTAAAGGAAACCACGATCTGGTGAAACGTGTTTCCTCAGGAAGGTAATACTTCCTTGAAAAAGTTGAAATCAGATATCACGGTGTGTATACATTTCCTGTTTAAATACATCAGAGGAAGTTCCAAAAATCTGCCCTAGCAAGGTTTCAGTCAGTTGATGACAGGAAAAGGGGAGCTGGCAGAGTTTACAGCACAGCTGGTGACCAGAGCAGGAAATACCTCTTAACATGTGGTTGACAAAAATGTGCCAAGCCATTGGTCTAGACTCTACACGAGGTGCAAGCCACTCAGGTTGTTTGTGAGGGAAATACAATTTACTGTTTTCCTCTGAGTCATAGAAGGCTGACTTAAAGTGGAAACGGCTGGATTTTTTTATTTTTTTTAAACTGCAGTTCAACAAGAGTTTACTTTGTTATTTCAAGCGATACTCTGTCCTTGTATAGAAAACATTTCAGTCTTTCTTTTTATGTCATGCAGAATAAACTTCAGAGAGGGGTAGGTGTCATGTTTTTTAAGTTTTACAGTACAGTTAAATGACTGATTCATTCATTTTAAGCTTACAGGCTTTTTAGAAAAACCGTCATTTGATTTGTGGAACAGTTGCATGACATGTCACTATGGCAGTGTTAATAAGTGTTTAAAACCACAAGTTTCAGGGGCTTTTATCACAATTATTATTATTTTTTTTATTTTTTTTTGGGGGGGGGGGCTTTACATTTCCATAACTTTTCTGAAAATCATTCTAGCAGCCATCCTAATGTCATGTCATGACTTTATGGATGTTTGTCTGCATGTCATTATCAGTCCCCATCTTTGGTCCAGACTGAAAATCCTCAGCATCTGGGCTACTCCATATGGTTACCATACAATGTTGTATAAACATTCATGCTCAGCAGATTCATTTTTTTCTTGACCTTTCATTTGGTGCAACTATCAGGTCTTAGTTTCTGTTGGTCTACTTTCATACTCAACAGGTACGCTATAGGTCTATGGGCAAAAGTGATTTGTGCTAGTTAACACATTGTAACATGTAAACATATCAAACTTAAACTAGAAGTATTATACTTGGCTAACATCAGTTTGCTAGAATTAAGTGTGTGTATGTAAGCATGCAGATTGAAGCATTTAGCTCAAAGCACTGCTGTGTCTTACATAAAGCAAAGCCACACATAGCTGCCATACCATAGAAATAGACTCTGGTTCTTGTTTAAACCTGTACAGGAACGCTTATTATTTTAAGATGCTAACTGTCACCTTGAATTGTCATGTTGGCCTCCTCCCTTTTTTTTCCCCTTTGATCATTGTCCATTGTTAAAGGGATACTTCACCCGTTGAAACATGAATCTGTATTGACATTGGGTCAAATATGTAGTAGAAATGTGAAATGCATTTTGAAGCTGGTGCCTTCTTGGCCGTGAAAAGGCAGAAAGTGTCTTTTTGGCTCATGTGGATGAAAGACACCTAATCCCAGAATGCACAGCACCGCAGGCCACTCCCACAACAAATGCTTTATTAATCCCAGAGGGAAATTCGATCGTTACAGTTTCTCCAAAATACACAATATAGCAGTAGAAATAAAGTACTAAAAACATTAACAGACATATTTACTTCAACACATGAGGCCGTTTCCTCAACTGATTCTGAGATTTCTTCCAGAAGGAATTGGCATCTTGTAAATTCCTGTCAGAAAACAGACTCTATGTCTGTGTCCATAGGCAAACAGTGAGAGCACCGACACCACCAGTCCGCCCCAGCTCGAGCCGGCCCGGGCTCCTCGTCCTTACCGTGGCCAGCAATATAGCAATATAGCCGCGAGACGGTTGCTGCCGACAGGCCAGTCTTGTGTCCCGGTGAGCGGCCGGCGGGCAGCAGCCGTCTCGCCGCTATATTTATATTTTTTCACCATTATCAGCTTTCTCCATAGAGCCTGTTAGCATAGCTACCAACCAATATGGCGGACTTTAAGTTTTGATTCTGGGCGTGAGTTCCCACCCACTGATCTGTGATTGGTCTGTAGCTTCAGCGGTCGAAAATATGAGGAACTAGCGTTGTAGTTTCACCCGGCTAACCGGAACAGCTTCCAGTGATGCAAAAAAACGTCATTTTGCGTCACTGGAAGCTCCTTTTCAGACTCGGAAATACAAAGATTTCCCATCTCAGGGGAAAATGAGGGAGAGATGCACGACCATTCAAAAATACTACCAGGTTTCTAAAGATACAAAGCTTAATGCAAATGGGCGAGGTATCCCTTTAATGTACTGCCCAAGTGTTTGCATATAAACAAAACACTGTTAGACAAAGCTAGTCCCATTTTTGCACACACTTAGAGCTAAATGAACTTACATTTTTTTTAAAGTTAGGGAATTGCTCAAGGTTTAGTCCATGATTGTAATGCTTTATTGATGTAGGCCCATCATAAGCAATTTATACGAAACAAAGGGTTTCCAGCATGGGAAGAAATCTACTTCAAACACAACCTCTGGAAACAATCTGTTGACAAATTATATGAATATATTAATCATTAAATCACAGTTAAGAATGGGGACTATATCAAAGCCGAACAGACAAGTGAACTGGCTATCAAACAGATGTTAATGATTTATTTATGGATCATTAAGTTTGGTTGTTCATTCATTGCATAAGGGGTTTTTCTTTTTGGTCTGCAAGAGTCAAGGGTAAGACAACGTGGCAGCTCAGACAGAGACGACTGTAGGTAACACAGCCTACGTGGATATTTCTGTTAGAGAAATTGAATGTTTACCAAAGTGTTCGTTGAATCCGTGACGCTAAATTAAAGGATTTATCATGATGTCATTTTGGTTGTTTTATATCTATATTTTTTTCTTCAGTAGGCTGTTTACACTATTCACACAATGTCCCTGCTATAAGTCAAACCTTTCAGAGCTGTTACGTGCATGCTGAAGCGTGCCTGTTGACATCTTCCGGATCTGAATAAGTTAACAGTACCTGAACTGTACGCACTGCAAAAATCTGCAGCCGTGCAGTCTCCGCCTCCTCTGCCCACGCTCGGAGGGGGGTCTATATTTAAAGAGAGGTGGCTGACACGCAGCGCGCTCACTGCTCGCTGCTCGCTGCTCCGGAGTCTCTCAGCATGTCTGAAAACCAGCGGGGTGTCGTGTATCTCATCACCGGGGGATGCGGTTTCCTCGGCAGGCACTTGCTGAAGATTTTACTGGAGAAGGAGGTCGATCTGGTGGAGATCCGGGTGTTCGACAAACACGTAGATTCAAGCCTAGATGGACTCAGCACAGGTAAGCCGATGTTATGGCTTCGCGGTGGTCAAAACGCTGCAGTTGTTTTCTTTTAATTTGAAGCTTCATCGTATCAGCGAGGTAAGATTACGCGACGACAAAATACGAGACCCAAAGTCGTTGCTCAGTTCATTTTCATTTCACTTAAAGTCGGCTTTAATGCATCTGCCACAGCCTTTGTAACGGTTTATGTTTCCGTGGTGTCTTACAATAATAATAATAATAATATCTTTATTTATATAACACCTTTTAAAAACAAATGTTTACAGAGTGCTGTGACAGACAGAGCAAATACAGCAAATACACAACAGAACAGAGGTCAACATTGTAAAAATGCAAATAACAGGAATGATGTGGAGTCAACAGGCAGGTATGGAGAGGCAGTTCAGTACAGTGAAGGAGAATTAGTTTAAAATCAATCAGGGGAAAACAAAATTGAAATTGAGGGAGAGTGGGACGACATCACATCACAGGCTGTAAACACAGAATGAAGATTTAAAAAAAAAGAAAAGAAGGGATTCACGGGACATTGGTTAAATGGATGAAGCAACAGAGAGCTGAAGAGTTAAAAAGATAGAAGGAGTAGGAATTTAAAAAAAAGACTTAAGAGCAGTAAAATGAATACAGGAAGGGATACATGTAAAGGCTAAAACATTTAAAGAAGAGAAAGATAAAAAGGTTAAGCGCAATAAAATTAATAAAAGGAAGAGATAGATCTTTAAAGGAGAAATCACATAAAAGCAAGTCTATAAAAGTGAGTTTCAAGAAGTGATTTAAAAGATTTACAGTACAGTAAAATACAGTATGGATTGGACTGGTCTGGTAGTCTATTATATTATTGTATAGGCCTACTATGTGTACAAACTCTATAGTACAAGGAATGTAGCCTGTAGATGCTGTGTACCAAAAAAAATATTTGTGTCTTTTCATTGCTAGAACCCTGACAAAGTCTGACATTCATTTCCCTTGCATACCATTGGGTCAGTCTGCAGACCTGACTGCTGGGCTGTGAATCCAGGAAAGCTTTCTCCCATATCCTGTGTCAGGACAAAGATGTTGTCACTTGTCATTGTATCATTTGCCTAACAGAGTATTCATTTTTTTCTCTCTCCATTTGTTGACCACATTAGAACAGGACATGGCATTTACATTGTGTTGTGACCTGAAGAGTTTCACATGCGCTTTCATTCTAACACGGGAGAAATGACACACCTCAAATGAATCAATGTAAAACTGCATTTCCTAGGAGAATTTGTTATAAATTGCATGAATTGCAATAATTAAACAAAAGCATGTGATTTCTCTGAAAGGGGTCTGTATTGGAAAGGACCCAACCCTGTGTGGCACCTCCGTCCCGCAGTGGAAAAGGCTTTGTTCAGCTTTCATCATTTATTGTGTGACTGGACTAAGGCCTGCTATTGATGCAGGGCTCTTTTGTGCCCCTGAGAGATCAGCTAACAGTAACAGGAGGGCTTAGTATCAGAAAAACTAACTGAAGGCTTCACAGCACAGAGATAATGACATGGTGAGCTGTGCATTTTTTTGGTATGTGGTTTCTCTTAGAGCTGACGTGAATTAATGTCAGCTAAAATCTGTAATCAGAAAACTGAGTACTTGGTGAAATAAAACATGGGCATGTGAACTGCAGAATTTCTGAATTGCATGAGGATATCAACTCACTGTTCAAAAGTCCAGTCAAATACCACACCTTCTAAATGATTGCCCCATCTCTTGCTATCAGCCTGTCAAGGTCAGTGCATAAACCGCAGGGGCATGCATGGCCTTCATAAACAACCAAGATACTAGACATTGTGACCTATAATGACCTATATAAAACTCATGAAATCCCAGTAAACATGTGTATGCTGTGAATGACGCAAAACTAAGCGTTTTTTTCTCATCTCTTGGTAAACAATTTAGATTTCTCTTTCAAGTGCTTTTCCTGTTTATTTGCTTCTGTAGAGTTACTAGGAAAGCGTGACCTGTTCCAGGATCTCTTAAGAGTTCATCATGATTTTTATTTTGTTTTCCTGTTTTTTCTCCTCTCAGCAAAAACAAAGGTAGTGGTCATTCAGGGCGACGTCACAGACTACAGCAGCGTGTTAGAGGCCTCCCGGGGGGCTGACGTTGTTATCCACAGTGCAAGCTTGGTGGATGTTTGGCACAGAGTCCCAGATACCGTCATCTACTCCGTCAATGTCACAGGTGAGACTTCAAGGGTGTGATGATCAAATGATAACACAAAGACTATAGTACAGTATGCATATCTACTAGAGCAAACGCTCGATATGTCTGAACATATCTCCAAGACTAAGATTTCACTTTGTTAAATAATATTTTGTCTTGTCTGTTAGTCAGAGCCAGATCCATAAAAATCTTCTTTTGCCCCTGCTGCACCCATCCTACAAGAGAAATGTCAGGGAAACCAAGCCCTTTGGTGGAGTTTCTGAGCAAAAGGGAAGCAACGGAAACTTCTGACTCAGTTTTATGGACAATGTATTTTTGGCGAAACCCACGCCTGTTATGGACTAACAATGCCAGCCATGGAGCCCACTGGTTTCCACCCAGTACGAATTCATCGCATATAATTGTAGTTATTGTTTAAATTACATTTCCCCTTCTTTTGAAAGTGGTCATCCTATCATCTTCACTAGTCTGGGTTTTAGATGTCAAAGGAGTTGTTTTTTAAGCCTGACAGGAATCCCTCTCATAAGGAAACACCAGAAGAAAAAAAAAAAATAGCTTAAAAACTCTAGTTGCATGATTAATCAAAACTTCATTATGATTGTTATCTGAACATTCGCAATCAACATAAACAAGAGATAATAAATATGTAAACAAGCTTTCTCACTGAGCTTACGTTCAACCTATTGGAGTGAGGCCTGGGTATTAGGTGGTGCACTCACCATTTTGATGGTGTCAGATGAAGCTAAGCTAGTAATCAGCTTCTGTCAGATTATAGCTCCTGTGAAGGGGTTTTTAGCTGGTTTTGAAACAGACTGAAATTCACAACTTTGCCTCTATATGAGATAGAGAAGCCAAAGAACTCATCATTGAGAAGATTGATTATTTCTACATAATAAATGTTTAAGTTACAGTGGTCTGTGTTTGTTTTGACCAGGGAAGGTAGGCAGTTTTTAGGCACCCTCACACGGCCGTTTTGGACACCCCTCGGTTTACCAGATGAGACCTGTTATCGCTGCAAACCTACAGGTGTTGTAACGATGGAAGCTGGCAAGCGAACTTGTTCAGATAACTGAATCCACCTGGCCTAAAAAGCCTTTGTAGTTTTCTAAAAAGCTCCTGAATACTGAACAGCATATTCTGCTCAAGTCGTGTAGGCTTACTTTATATACAATGCACTCATAATGCTTTAGCATAAAACTTGATGCATCCAAAACCGCTGCCTTCACTGTAGCTATAGCTAAGCAGTCGACTGAAGAATGATGTGGGATAAATCCTGTTGAATGCTGTAATTTGTGTCGTATTTGAACATAGGGTTGATTGATTGATGTGGTGGCTGACTCAGAGAGAAAGAATGAGAGGAGTTTGTTTTTGAAAGCATTATATAACAGGTTTTCATGCTATTGTGAACTCTCATGCTGTTATGACACACATAGAGCTTTACATGGTTTTAAAATTGCTACTGTTTTAAAGAAGTGAGATTTTTAGTTACATTTTCCTTCTGTGCAGATTTGAATTCCCCCCTGTGGGCCAAGCGGTACATTTTTTTCGCTGGTCCTGTCCTGTACATGTATGTTAAATATTCTCTGATCTTGTCTTTGCTTGATTTTTACCGTCAAAGTTACGACTCACCAGTGGACGTTGGTGGAAAATGAACACAAAGTTTCATTCAGCAGTTTGATGTTAATCATTTTTGCTGGAATTTGACCTGTTGGAAGTGATGACAAGCAGAAAATAGTCAGTGCTCCTCTAGCTCATTGGTGGGTTTGCTTTTGTTGACCATATAAGGCCTTCAGTATAAAGTAGTTTAATAACCATAAAAAGACTCCTTTTATAATACATTTAACCTTTGAACCCATGACTTTACTTGTTCCTCATGTCTAAAACATATATCCTAGAAATACTCTTGCTCACTTGTTTTTGAATGTTTAAAGTAGCAGTTTGGGTTTGGATGCATTGAGTCATTTAAACAGTCTACAAATCCACTCTCTGTGGTTTTGTTTATGTCATGGGTTGTGGTGACTCCTTGGCCTTAAATAGCCTACAATGATTCAAGACAATAACAACTTTATCTGTTATTGGGTTTGTCTGTATGCTTGTCACATAACACCTTGAAAGAATTTTGAAGCAAATGAATTTTCACCTAATGTCATTAAATCAGAGTGAATGAAGCCAACGAGAAGAGGGAGTGAGTTGAATCTGACCTCTGTTACACTGGGTGGTTCTCTCTAGATTCTTGCAAATATTACAAGAATTTAAAAACACCAGCCAGTGGTTGCTCTCAAGAGGTTTACATGCCTTTTGTTTCTTTATGTTTCGGGATTACTGTTAACTCCCTCTTCCTAAGGCTTAGAGATACAATTTCACCCTGCTTCCCAGAACAAGTTAGAGTTGCAGGTGCAGAAAGTTAAGAGACTAATAATTGTATCCAGACACTGGTTTCTTGCCTAAATTCTAGTACATACCAGAGATTTTCACCACCTGTGAGCCACACAGTGTTCAGTACCAGATATTCATGCATGCCAAGCACCAGAGTCTCCTGATACACTCGTTTTAATTGGAATCACGTCATGTAGCTACATCATATGGGGAAAATGTTAACACCTCACTGACTTTGAAAATAAGTGGGACTTGTTTTCATCTTTATCGCAAAAGATTTGAGTAAGATTAGAATCAAAAAAATGAAGCCATTACCCCATTACCACATTCATTATGTTTTTTTTATTTGTAACATCTTTAAAGCACTTTAAGCAGGTTTTATGTTTCAATTCCTTTTTATAGCTATTCTTGGTATGTTTATATTTGTGTCTGTCTGTCTGTTTTTCACAGCTGCTGAGTGATTAAGAAAGGGAGTTACTGTGCAGAGAAGGAAGGATCAATTCTACAACATAGTCCAGCAGACATAAATATGGCCGTTATGTTATGGACTTTAACAGTGGAAGTTGTCCTCCTCCCCTGTTAGACCTTCAACATAATAAATACAGGATAAGACTCTTATCTCCACTTTGGGACAACTATATTTAATTACACAGCCCTTCCACTTTCATTGACAAAGACCAGGTTTTAAGAAGACATGTTTTTCCTCTTAGCTTATTAAAATACACTGTGGGTCTGAGTCTGATGCCTCTCTCTTACACAAGTGTCCTGTTGATCATCTACATATGCATCTAATTTTCTCATGCATCTTGTTTTCATTTCAAGATGCTCATCCCTGCATGCTGTTCTAAACTTCAGGAATCCAAGTGTATTGAAAGCAGTCATGGCTAATTTGCTATATATTTTTTAATTAACCACGTACTGACTCTCTCTGTTTTAGGAACGGAAAATGTGATCAATGCCTGTGTGGAGTGTGGCATCCAGTCCCTGCTGTACACCAGCAGCATGGAGGTGGTCGGCCCGAACGTGAAAGGAGATCATTTTGTCAGGTGAAGCCTTGAGATTATAATTTCATGTCAGTTAGTTTCTGAACACACTGTACAATCATACTCATCATGACCTATGTGCAAGTCCAAGAGTGTTTTTCTTCACTGAGCACACGTGGCTGCACATTTCACTCCAACTTTAAGGAAATATGTTGGATGTTTATTTTTTTCTTCTTCTGTGGTCTCAGTCTTCTCTACGTTCTCTTTTTTTTTCTCGTGAATGTATTAAAGTCTGTACAGAAAAGATAGGGTGGGGTGGAGACGCAATTGACAGTGAGAGGCTGCTTTAGTGACCTAATCAAGGGTTTGCAATAAAGAGTCAGGAATTCAAAAGATATTTAACTGGAGGCTTGTTTTTCCTTCACTGTGACATGTTTTTTCCCCTCTCTCCAGACACACTTTACCAGTTGCATGTTATTAAGTAAAAAAAAACAAAAGTCACTGCTCAGTCTGAGCTAAAAACTGAAGTTTAAGGAAGCTGTGTAACATAACACTTAACACCAGTGTTTTTGACAGGTATTCATTTCGGATTCAGCAATAGAACCACATTTTAGCTGTGCACATCAGACATGTACTCCCATGCCTGATTAATGTTGCACCAGTGTTCCTCTGTTTGCTGACATTTTAAGGAATGCTGTATACTGACTGTCTCCAAGGGCGTCTGCATTATTCAAGGTGTGCATTGTTTATTCCCGAGTAATAAAGAATCATTTTGGATCAGGCATGCCTGGAAACCACAACAAAAATAATAATACAGAGATAACAAACAGAGGTGTGGTGATGTGAGATACATATTCTGATTCTGTCTAACAAGGTTTCTTTGGTATAGGTTCAGGGAGTGGTGGGGCAAGCGCTGTGAGAATATACAGGTGTGTGTAGGATGGAAAATCCAGCTCGAGTGCTTTACATGGAGTCCTTTTCCTGTTGATTTGACCAAGGAATGAAAATAAATGGAGATAAATTGTTGTTAACACACTCTAAAATCTAAATGACCAGGGTGTTCTCTGAAAGATAGTTTGTGCTAGGGAAAATGAGTGGATGTTTTTAAAGTAGAATATGCAAAAGCAGCAGAATAATCGAGCGTAAAGAGAAGGTGAAAAGCAGGCACTGAAGAAAAAAACAAGCTGATTATGAAGCAGAATTATCAAGTTGTTACACTCAACCGTCTGAATCCAAACAAATGTTTCAGAAAACTTCCAGCTTCTATCCACCTTCAGCAAGAATCAGCATATTCTTCCACACAGTTTGTGTGTGTGTGTGTGTTTGTTTGCACTACCTTAAGGCTGGAAGTACATAGCTACAGCTGTACCTCAGGATCATATTTAGCATTCTCTCTTTGTCTGTAACAGATCATTTGTAACAGGATGAGAGAATGATCCTTTGTCTGCTCTTGTCGGAGGAAGCCTTTCTGCCGAGAAACACTATCAAGTGGAAAGATGAAAGATTCAAAGATTATACAGGACAGCCTCCTATAATGACCCTTTTTTTCCCCCTATCTCTCTCTCTTTGGTTCTCTCTCCCTCCTTCTCTGTGCGAGTGTCCTCTCTGAGCTCCAGTTTTCCATTTGGCTTCATTGGAACACATTCCTCTCATGCATGCGGCGGGGTCAAGAAAAAGCACTATTTGCTTTCTCCTGAGTGCTCCTGTGACTGTTTGTGTCTTTTTCTTACAGGGGCAATGAAGACACCCCTTACAATGTGTACCACACCATGCCCTACCCCAAGACCAAGGCAAAGGCAGAGAAGATCGTACTTGAAGCTAATGGCACCAAGGTACCATGTTTTTATAGTATTTATCTGTTAAATAACGGACTCTGTAGGGGTAACATTCAACTGACATTTTAATTAACATCCAGCCAGGCAACAGCGAGGCTGATTTATTGGAAGCACAATCCACTGTTGGGTACATTTTCTCTGACCCCTCTGGGAGCTCCTCAAAGTGTTGAACTAAGAATCATAAAACATTAACGATGCAATGAAACTGATTTAAAAACAACTGCAGATGTACAATTGAAAAAACAACAACATTGGTTTCCAGATATATTAATTTCTGCATGTCAATAAATATTATTCCTAAAAATCAGATTAAATACTAAGAATCAGATTCTTGAGTGCATCTTTTTAATGTTAAGCTTCAGACTGGGTTACACATTCGTGTGTGTTTTGTAACTGTTGTGTGTCTAGTTGGCTTGAAAATGTCATAACAAGAATTTTGCTTGTGCAACTTTGCCACAGAACACTAGATCATCCCTTTTGTGGTCTAACTGTATTGGACTCTAGCTATTGACAATAAGATAAGCTACAGTCTGCTTTGTTGTTCTCTTTTCTTTGTCTGAATTCATGACAACAAATCCTGCTTTTGTCTCCTGTCCAGGTGAAGGGTGGGAAGTGTTTAAACACATGCTCCCTGAGGCCGACAGGGATCTATGGCGAGGGGCACGAGCTAATTAAGGACTTCTACAAGCAGGGTGTACAAAGGGGAGGTTTGATCATCGGGGGTGTCCCTGATGAAACTGAACATGGACGAGTCTATGCAGGTAAAGTTTAGTTTTTTTTTTTAGTGTGTCATATCCACTAGCTTTAAGGCAAGTCTCTTCAATGTAGCGTTTGATCCTAACAAACCTCAGCTCTATTTTTATCTCTTAAATGCAAAGGCTTGAAAGAAGAACAAGATAAAAGCAGAGCATGCTGACTTATTTTCACACAGGCTGAAAGCAGAAGTACGGTTTTCACAGAAAGTGCCTGTGCATTTCACAGAACAGAACACTGCCTTTGCAGTTGATAGAGATTGCTGCTGGTTTAGATAGTGAACTAAAAATACACAGATGGCTTTCTTAAGCTCACTCCCCAGCAACTGCCTGCGAGTGAGTGAAAAGCGCATGCGCTGTAGCTTTAAAGAATAACAGATAGTTAAACACGAGAAGTAATACAGATGTTCTGGGTTGTGACATCATGTGAATAGTGTCATCCAGCAACAATCTGTACAGGTGTGTGAACACGTCATTAAATAGATCTCCTGCTAGATGTCATGAAGTTATCTGTAAATATGACATGCTATTTTCAGTTCTTCCCAGTTGTTTTTATTAAGTCATGGTATCAGTTGCTTCTTTACCAGATAATTAATCACATAACCTGCATGTGAGCATGAGTGACAGCCGACATGAAGAAATATGTATAGCATGCCTAACACGTCACAAGACTAAGTCACAGAAAAGCTCTATAAAAGGATGCATGTTCTCTAAAGTGCATGAGGCACTGTCGATTTTTGTTGTAACATGCACACGGGTGACGTGAAGGATGATGTCAGTGAAATGTGGTCAGAGGCATGAAGAAAGAGGCATGAAGAAACACTTCTTCATGTCCTTATGCACAATGTGGAAGTTTTAAGGGGGATATTGTTAAATTTCACAACCCTTGATTTATATAAGGGCACTATTGTAAGATTAAAAAAGGTTAAAAAAAAATGTGTTAGTCCTGTTTTTGAGATGTTTCGTCACCAAATTGATGTTTTTATTATTGATAAATGACCACACATCAGTAAGGTGGTCATTTATCAATAATTTGGTACTGACAGGAAGCTGTTTTCATCAGCATACGGCTCTGGGTATAACTTCAGTCAGAAGTCAGTGTCTAATAAGTTAAGTAAGTGTTTAAAATGATGTAAAACACAAAATCTAATTAAAAGTAAAGTGTGTAAAATAACTGTAGAATCTTACTGTAAATGTAACTGCTTTGGGATTTCCACTATGTTTTGAATTACTTTAACCTCACACAGTCTGTTATTTTCCCTCTTGTTTGTGTAACTAGGTAACGTTGCCTGGATGCATGTTCTTGCAGCCCGGGCCCTGAGAGAGCGCCCACAGGCTGTCGGAGGTGAAGCTTTCTTTTGCTACGATGACTCGCCCTACAAGAGCTATGAGGATTTCAACATGCTTTTCCTCTCCGCATTTAACTTCCGGAGGGTCCGCATGCCGTTAATGTTGCTCTGGTTCCTGGCTGTGTTTAATGACATGCTCCGCTGGATACTGAGCCCCTTTACTAACTATACACCGTTGCTTAATGGTTACACCTTCGCCGTTGCAAGTACCTCCTTCACCGTGTCCACAAACAAAGCACTACGTCACTTTGAGTACCGCCCGCTGTTTGACTGGGATCAATGTCGTGCCCACACACAGAAATGGGTTGACACATTTCCTGGATAAACCCAAAGTCTCTTAATGTGACCTCAACCACTACAACACACATCAGGAGCTGCTATGTAGAGACGCAGCGCTCCTGATAGATGTGTAAAGAAGTCCTGAGCTTTTAGATTACAGCGTAAAGTAAAGGAAAGCAAACAGTATTTATGGTAGAAAAATGTCATTTGAATCTTTTGTTAGTCTGTGTTATACTCACTTATAACTGCTAAGTTATACAGGAAACATAATAAAAGCATTTGCTCGATGAGGCAAAAACATTTTATCCTTATTTAAAAGAAAGTCAGATGAATTATTTAATTCCACAGGATTCATTTCACAGACTATATAGATGTTCAACTTTGTTAATTATGACAATTGTTAAAGTAATTGACAAGCATTATCTACATACATATGGACTAAATATCTGTATTTAGTAATATATTGTATTCTTATGAATGCTTTATGTTGCATAATTGAAACATACTTTTTTATATCTTAAGAAATGTATCGTTTTTGGTACAATAGTTTATTTTGTAATTTGTATTAAAGATAATTTATTATATTCTACACTGCTTTGTTTGTTTTTATTATGCACTTGATTCATGTTTCAGGGAGAGGCTGCATTTTCCTGTTTGCCTTTACGTAACTGATCTTGTTTGATTACTGCATCTATGATGATGTGTAGTGTATTTGTAATAATGCAAGTTTGTTCATCTGGAGACCAGAGTCATGATGATTGATTCCTCTTTGATGTGCAATGGTTTCCTTACCATTAACTCATGCTTAGTGGGAGTTCCTCTCTGGAGTTCCATGGATACAACTAACTTTGTTTACCAGCAGTACTAAGGGCTGATTTCCACTTTGTACTCTTGTGGAAACATGTCTCCAGACTCTATGACAACCAGCTGGACAGCATTTGTTTATATGACTAAGACAAAATATATGGGAGTTCCCTTTTAAATTCACAATGTTTCAATTATGTCTGGGTGTCCCCCATTTCTGGTTTTCCATGGCAACTCTCAACACAACATTTAAACATGCCTGCTCTTTCAAAAAAGAGCAGAGAAATTATTCACAATCTCCATGCAAAACATCTATGCTCTTCCAAAACAAAAACAAAATATTGATTTGTGGCACTTGGGTTGGTGAAAAAATATTAATTGATTTGTCTTATGATAAAGGTCTTCAGCACCATACTGATGATTGAAACGTATAAAGCCAGATATGGTTTGTATGATATGACATCCTGAAGCAATACAAGGCTTGTCATTAAAGTGGATTGTGCCACCTACTGGTGCAACTTCAACATGCAAGAGAAGACTAGGCTACTTGAACATTAAAGTAAGTGTAGTGGAGATATCTACAGTCTATAAATAACAAAAATTCCAAACAAATTATAAACTTAACGCAAACTCACCAAGCCACTGAGGCACCTAGAGGGCGAATCTTACGCAGGATATGTTAATAAGTCCATTGTCCAGATGATGATTGAAGGTTTTAGGGTGGTTTATTTTATCCAGAGACATCAAGCAGGCAACAAACAACAAAAAACGCTGCTGTCTCTCTTGCCCTGTCATCCTGCCATTGCGTCCAGGCTTACTAGTAAAAAACCATTAACCCATTAGGTGCCTACCTGAGTCTCACCTGGCTACCTGGCTATATAGACACACCCATGTAGACTCCACCTTTATGCCCCAAGTAGCAAAATAAACGAATGGAAATAACTCATATAAATGTAAACAATAATAATCAAAATACCCCGAACATAATCTAATATTCAAATGTATCCCCAAAATATCCCAAAATAAGAATATAGACTTTCACTTAATTTAGGAACAGCTGTAATAGTAAGCGATATTTCTGCGTTTTTTAGTATTATTTTTGTTTTTACTGCAAACTGTATTGTTTTTCCGGATTTATAAGAAACCTTAATGGACGTTTTTGTATCTTGGTTATTAGTGATTTACAAGAAAAAACAATGGTTTGACACTCTGTTCTTAATGTCTACGATTAGGGTCAAATTAAAACACACCTGAGGCCCGAGGGAGAAATAAAGTCAAAAAGCAGTAATGTATGGCAAAGGCAACCTTAAAGAGTAACTAAACCCTAAAACCACTTTTTTCAACTATAAACCTCTGTATTTGAGTGTTAAGTAGTGTTATGGATCAATTCAAGTCCAAATCTCGACATATGAGCACAAAGTATTGAAATTCAAAATATTAAACGTAAGAGTAAACAAAAGTTAAAACTAAACGACCATATTGTTTATTAAAAGTAAACGATCATATTAATGTAATATGTAAAGTAATAATGTTTATTAAAAGTAAACGACCATATTATTGTTATTAAAGTAATAACGTATAAGTGTAACGACCATATTGTTTATGTAAAGTAATAATGTTTATTAAGTAAACGACCATATTGTTTATTAAAAGTAAAGTAAACGACCATATTAATGTTTATTAAAAGTATAATGTTTATTAAAAGTAAACACCATATTAATGTAATATGTAAGTAATAATGTTTATTAAGTGTAAACGACCATATTAATGTTTATTAAAAGTAAACGACCATATTAATGTAATATGTAAAGTAATAATGTTTATTAAGTGTAAACGACCATATTGTTTATTAAAAATAATAATGTTTATTAAAAGTAAACAACCATATTAATGTAATATGTAAAGCAATAATGTTTGTTAAAAGTAAACGACCATATTAATGTAATATGTAAAGTAATAATGTTTATTAAAAGTAAACGACCATATTCCTGCTGTGTAAGGGAGGTTCCTGTGCAGGGAGCGTGCATGTACCCGCCGACACTGGCGGGAGCGCGCACGTAGCTGTCAGTAGGAAATGCAGGCTGCGGGTGTTGGATGTTCCCCTATCGATGCGCTTGGATAAATTAAACAAAGAACATTAGTTTTGCCTTAGAATGAAAATTATATTGAACGCTGCATGAATTTGGCGAGAATAGTCGCGTAAAGTCTCACCGATGTAGTAACGGAAACATTCATCCTGCTAGGCTAGGCTAAAAGAAACAGGACACTGTCGGCGCTAATGCTAAAATAAGCTAACTCGGCTAGCTGGTAACTTAGCCAGCTACCTCACCGAGTGCAGGACATTTTTTCCACTCTTCCAGGTTGAACGCTGCATGAATTTGGCGAGAATAGTCGCGTAAAGTCTCACCGATGTAGTAACGGAACATTCATCCTGCTAGGCTAGGCTAAAAGAAACAGGACACTGTCGGCGCTAATGCTAAAATAAGCTAACTCGGCTAGCTGGTAACTTAGCCAGCTACCTCACCGAGTGCAGGACATTTTTTCCACTCTTCCAGGGTCCTCACCTCCCCCCCCCCTCCCTTGTTTTGCGGTTCCTTTCTCCTGTCTCGCTTTTTTGGTGTGTTTTCATTTTTTTTAACGGAGGAGGTTGCGGAGCCGGAGCTGTGGCAGGGGGGACGTGTGAACAGGAACCCCCTGGCTCTCCAGGCGGACGGATCACTGTGACACGCCGGTCGTGGGTGAGTTGTACAGCCGAGTGTGAGTTGTAGTTGCCAGGGGGCGGTAGGGTGGACAAGGCCGTGGACGCTGCTCGGTTAGGGCCTGGCAGACTATGTATGTGTGTGTGTGTGTGTGGGTGTGTGGGTGTTGACTATTAGCTATTAGTAAACAATTGCCTCTGTGTGCTGAATCGGGAAGTTCAGACGGCCCGAGTGAGGCCTCCACAGAGGATATGACAACAATGTAGCTGATGTTATTAGCTGCTAGCAGGTCACCAATTGCGGCTTGCAACCACCACAGACATGAACCTGCTTCGTCAGCAAACCTGCTGGATCACTGGGATTGTGCTTTTGTTGATAGTGTAATTGTGCGAGTCCATACCTAGAAAGCAATGTTTACTTTTTGCTCTGTCAAAAGTAAGATGTTATAGATGTCGTGGGCAGCATGTTGTACAGCTGGTTATGATATATATATATATATATATATAAAGTTGTGGATTTGAGGTTTTTTCGATGTGTTCCTTGCTGGGTGTAAAGTTGTAGGTTTTAATTTCCTGTCTGTGAAGTTGCTTATAAAATCAAATTCTATCGAGAAGTCATTTTTCTGTATGAGAAAAATGTATATTTGGTCATTTTAATTTTTGGTGTTATCCCATCCAATTTTTTTATTTATCTGGTTTTAAGAATAGAGACTGTGCTTATGAGTTATCAATAATGAATTGACCTCTCTTTGTGTACAATAATTATGTTGCTAAACTTACTTACTCCTCTTCGTCCCCTATGGGACGTAAGGCTTCAATGAGCGCTCTCCAGGTGTTTTTTTGGCCTCCCAGGTTTTCTTTTGCCTGGTGGTGTCCATCTTAAGGCGACTTTTGCGATGCGGTCCTGCTACCATCCTCAACACGTGTCCTAGCCATCTCTCGTAATCTCCTTGGTGATGCTCCGGCTTCATTGTTGGAGGTCTTTATTAGGCCAAAAGATCTGGCGTATTCGTCGGAGGCATCCATTATGGAACACTTTTAGTGTAACATGGAATGTTACTAAACTGCTTTATGGCAAAATAAAACTAATTTCCATCATTTTCTTTCTCTTTTTATAAAGGAGCGATTATAGCGGAACCATGGCTGACCTTTTTACCTTATCCCCATCACCACCTGCGTTGGGTGATCCACATGCAGCTCCTTCCATCCCGCCACCCTCATCAGCAATCCCTACTCCCAACAGCCCTGCTCCAGAGTCTGCAAGGGAGATTCCCTCACCCAAGTCTTCCCTCTACCATGACACAGCTTTGACTGGGAAGACTCCTGAAGCACAGTCCGAAAGACCACCTTTGACTCTCCAACCTCCCTCAAGTCCTCCTAAACTCGCTGCTGAGACTCCTTTCACATTAACGGTACATGATGCTGCTCCACAAAGAGAGGAATCAGTCGGGGGAGATGCAGGGACTGGAGCTCAGGAACCAATGACAGGTGACTCAGCAGCTCCAGAGCCCTTGAATACTGAAACAGAGACCAACATACAGTCAAGTGAGACGTCAGCACAAAGTGAATCGCAAATGGCATCCCCTTCTCCTGATCTCAATCCTGGTCCCAATCTTTACCCTAATGTGCATGTCACCCACAATCCAAATCCTGTCATGGATGAATGTCAACTTAAAGTGGACCAACCCCAAACTTCTGCAGCTTCAAATCCCACACCTGCTCCTCCAGCATCCAGCGACACAGCAGCATCATCTATAGCTGAGGAGGAACCTCAGCCACTTCAACAAGCACAAAATCCCCAAAGTCAGCCTCCTCCACTCTCTCCAAAGCCTGAGACTCCCAGTGAAGTAAACAGAGCAGAATTGCCCAGCACCCCAACCAGAGTAGAACACCCTAGCCC